ATCACGCGTCTCAACCAATGAGAGACCATCATCACGCGTCTCAACCAATGAGAGGCCATCATCACGCGTCTCAACCAATGACAGGCCATCATCACGCGTCTCAACCAATGAGAGACCATCATCACGCATCTCAACCAATGACAGGCCATCATCACGCGTCTCAACCAATGAGAGGCCATCATCACGCGTCTCAACCAATGAGAGGCCATCATCGCATGTCTCTTTATCTTGCACCAGTCTCTGCTGAATGCATGCTGCTTAAAAACTTCACTTTGTTTTCTGTAACTAGAGACAAGATCATGAAATCTGATCCACATCAAAATTGTCATATTGTGAACATTTGAATAAGACGGTTTTAACCCTTTAACTTTATGACTATTCATGTTCCTCAGAGGGAAAATCAACCACTTCATTAAGCTGCTTATAAATATTAGTTTTAAATATTTGTTCCACAAAAAAAAAAAAAGTCATTCTTTTACAGCTCTCAGCCTGATATAAAAATATCTAATTTAATTTCTGATGTCAAACGGATCCAAATCTGAGATTCTGTTTGGAAACCATGAACACCATGTCCTCCATAGAGGGACCATCATCACATGGTTCAAGAGTCTGCCTCTCTGCTTGCATAGGGGTGCATTAGTACATTTGGCATAGGCAGCTTTGAGCAAAAGGATGCTGAATTCAGAAAATTCAATTATACTCTCATCTAACGAAGAATGATCAAAACAGACCCAAGGACTGTTGAACAGCAGACCAGAAGGTCTCCTCAGATCTGGGACATTTTACACACTGTTGTTACGAAGAGAGGGGTCCTTGTCTCAGAGGAAACATGGACCTGAAACAACTGTTATGAAATGTGTCGCTGCCATCACATTTTAAATTACTTGGAAAAAACAAAACAGTTTAGTTCAGACCTGTGAGATGTTTACTTTGTTCCAAATTTGGGTTTGTGACATTCTGCAAGTTATTACATTCTGTTTCATTAACGTTTTACACGCAACATTTTAAAGCTAAACTGTCAACGTCCTCCCAGGGACTAATCCTCTGCTGCTAAAGCCCTGACATTCTCCAGAACCGGTCCAGGTCTGACTTTATCTTCATGTCCAAATGTCATTAGAAAGTATTTATGAAGGCCACGATAAGAATACTGAGCCTCGTTCATTAAAATGCAGTTTATCAAGAGATTTAAGTTGTAGGAGTCCAACAGACACCTGGTCCACACCGGGACATCTGAGTCCAACAGACACCTGGTCCACACCGGGACATCTGAGTCCAACAGACACCTGGTCCACACCGGGACATCTGAGTCCAACACACACCTGGTCCACACCGGGACATCTGAGTCCAACA